GATTCTATGATTCTATTATATGATTCTATTATATGATTCTATCTGCCTGGTCCTGTTACTGTATGAACAAGTTCTCTTGTAAGTAACTAATGTCAAAGAGGATTGTTAAAGAAGCAGAGCTGAGGAACTCTTGACTTTTGAGAACTTCACAATGATGTATTGGGCATAAATGGCAGAGCCTGTTCTGGCAGCAGGGGTGGCCATGAACTGCCCTGTGCCAGTCGCTGCTGGTTCCAGCCAAAGCTTCAGCTCCTCAGAGGGGAAGGTGCCACCTATGCTTAGACATATTAAAGAAAAGGTGGGAGCAGCTGGGGCCAGGAGCCAAGAGGAGGCATGTGAGGATGCATGGGAAGACAAAAGGGGCACCTATAAGTTAAAATGTGAGGAGATGTGTTTGGAGAAACAAAGCAGAGTAGTAAGAAGCAAGGAGTAGCAGACAACACGCTACACGCTGACCCTCCTGTGCTGCCCCCAGCCTCACTTGAGGGGAAGTGGGGGAAGGACTGAGTGCAGCATTTGGGGAGGAGGGGGGGTTGGACTGGGTCTGAGCTTTGGAAAGGGAAAAGAAAGGCATTACCCTAGGTGTTTAATTGTCACTTAATCAACAATTAAAAGTTTATCCTAGCTTGCAATAAACTAAATTGGGTGAAACTGCTGAGTCAAAACTGCTTTGCCTACAACACAAGGATAAAGAGGGCTTTGACTCAGCAAATAAAGCACAGAGGAGGGGGGGTTGGACTGGGTCTGAGCTTTGGAAAGGGAAAAGAAAGGCATTACCCTAGGTGTTTAATTGTCACTTAATCAACAATTAAAAGTTTATCCTAGCTTGCAATAAACTAAATTGGGTGAAACTGCTGAGTCAAAACTGCTTTGCCTACAACACAAGGATAAAGAGGGCTTTGACTCAGCAAATAAAGCACACATAAAGCCTGTTACAACACTCAAAATCTATTTTTTGAAGAACCCAGACAAATTCTGGTATTTACATGGCATTCTGCAAATTTTTAAAAGCAAGCCTCTGATTATTAAATGTAATAATTACAAGTAAAGAGTGAGAGAATATGTATTGCCTCAAACTATAATCAGTTTTTGTATTCATCCAATTTTACCTCAAACAACATTATTGCACTGAACAAAATCTTTCCTGAATCTTCTTTCCATTTGAGATGGCTTTATGCTGACATTAGATTTTTGCAGTTAGCTTCTTTGACTGATCAAGCAGTTCCCACCTTGCAATTGCTGAGAGATGAACTTCATCGGGCCCATCTGCCAGGCGCAGGGTCCGTATATAAGCAAACCTGTGTCAGAAGAGCTGAATTAGGGGTAGATTTCTAATCCTGCCACAGCAGCAAGCCAGTCTGACAGCAGGAGTTCTCAGCACTGTTTTTGCTATAGCCAGCCTTTTAACAATAGTCTCTTTGAAAAGAGCTATCGCATAGGAGATACTGCAGCAAAATCGTCCTGGGAGGATTGAGATATGTGGGCTGAAATTTGGAAGGCTTGCTTCTTCCCAAGACCATAAGGAATCAGACTGAACTTTAGAAACAGATCCTCTGTGCTGCTGATAAGAACTGTTTTAGGTCCAGTGCCAGCTTTTTTTTTTTTGTAATGGTAAACAATGCAGTTGCATTGGAATTGAATTATAAAAGCAATTGTTTTAAGTTTTATAGCTTAAAGGCATATGGACCATTATTTTGGGTTACCTGAGGTAAAACAGCAGGTACTGGGTATTATAAAATTATCTTAAAAGGAAGGCTTAGAAGCTACAAGTAAATCTCCCTTACTCACATAAAAGCCAAAGGAAAATCCTGGGAAACTCCAGCTCCACCACACACTTGGATTGCACAGTCAACCACTTTAACCACAGCTCGAGGGACAATCACTTTGGTCATGGCTACCTGCAGTTAGAAGAGAACTCACATTATCAGTAACAGTTTCATAAGCAATTGAAAATATTTATTTAACAGTTCTACTGAAGATTGGTATCTCACAAGTACATTCCTTCCTCTTTGGATTTGATGAGAGCTCTGGGTGAGGTAAAACTGTTCCCAGGAGAGACAGTCACCTAAAACTATCTCATTGTGTTGAGACAAATAAGCAATACTTGAACTTCTTTAATTTTTAAATACTTTATCAGATTGATCTCAAAGTTTTTAACTGAGAACACTTTCTGATCTCATGACAATAAAAAGCACATCTTAAGGCCATCTATTTTCAACATGAAGTTATGCTCTATGATTAGAAGGGTAACTTAGCAATATGTTTTAGCTTATATTTCAACCAGTTGAATGCACAGGTATTGCATCCCCAAGTCCTAACCTAAGGCTGCTGAAGAAAAATTTACCTCTTTTCTTGCATTTCTATTGCCCAACGTGTCAATCTTGCTGGCTGTTTTTAGCGTAAGCAGTCGAGCCTGTTCTATGCTAAGGCGGCATTCAGCAATCCAGTGGGCAACAACTTCCTGCAGAAACCAAAGCCAACAAGCAGAAAGTCTGTTAATGTCTCCTGGCGCATCTGGGTACACCTGCCCTAAGGAAGATGCCCCTATATCTCAGCATGTGCGTGTTCAGTCATTTAGTGACACCCTTGTGCAAATTAAAGCTAGCTTGATGCATGTAATCTAATATGAGGAAAAAAAGAAAGAAAACACTTGGCTGACAGAAATACTAAAGACAGAGCTGTTCTTTTCCTTGCAGGAAAGAGGATAAAGGGGAAAAAATGCTGATTCTGGCATGCTCTCATTTCCTGGTCAGACCCACTGCCTGCCAGCCATTTTCCTGCAGCCCTTCAAAGCCTGCTTTTTACTCTCTGCTTTCCTTTACCTGCTACCAGGACTCACAACCAGCTCTCTGTGTAACACGCCCCAGTATACAGAAATTGGGGGGTGAAAGAGGAGAGGAATTGGTTCTGTTTTGCTTAAGCTACTGCTGGTGGTGTGTTACACACCCAGGCAAACAGCTGCAGGGTGGTGCCTGCTGCATCTGTCTGTTCACATGGATGATAAATTAGTAGCTCCCTTGATCCAAATGAAGTTACGGTCTTGGCAGCCTTTTCCGGCTCCTCTTAGCTAATTCCACTCTGCAGCCAACATACCACACTAGAAAAAAATGTTCATATGATGCTTGTCAGTGCAAAAGCTGTTTGGAGCCTGAGCCAGCCTCAGGCACACACTCCTGCCTGGGTGTGGTAGCCTTGGCAGCTGCAGGAGGCACGAGCAAAAGTGCAGCACTCACTTCAGTGCAAAGTCTGAGGGTTCGGCTTAGCTTGTGCCAGCAAAGGTGGTCTGAACCCAGGTAGAGGTGTTCAGACACGCTCTTCTGCTGACAGTTCCCGGGGTTGTAAGTAACTGCCATGTGGGCAGTGGTGATGGTCAGGCTGTTACCCAAGGCAGCCAACAGCCTCACCTCTTCCTTAGCTATCCTAGCGCTGTGAAGAACCTATGCTGGCTAACCAGCTGGCCTCCAGGTCTTGCCTGTGGCTTCATCAAACATCGGTTTTACTTTAACGAGCTTCTGAGAAACAGAGTGCACCTCATCCAACTCTTATTAATGAGAGGTTAGGGTCATGAATGGAAGTTTGGCAATGACATGACTGGAAAATGGAGATTTAAGATTATTCCCTCTGGATCTGTACAAACAAATTTCTATAACCTGTGCCAGACACTAATTCAGTTTCCTTTTTACTTGTTTTTTCCAATAAAGTCATCCTATCTGTTGGATAAGATTGAGGAACACTCGAAATGTGATAGGCCAACTACTAAATGCTGATGGTTCCTATAAAAAGCAGACTGTTATCTTTTTATTATTATAGCAAGCCTTCTCTCACAAAACAGTATTTTAGTTCCAGAGCAAGATAAGACCAAAAATCCCTATATGGCCTTGGTTTGGTCTCTACTTTCATAAGTACAAATAATTGATCAGAGAAGTAAAATTTTTAGTCAAATTTAGACCCTTGAGTGTCTCCGGTAATCATGAACACAGATGTCTAGGTGACAAATTCAACACACAGAAATGGTGAGTTCAGACTGTAAGTACAGAAACATAAGCTGTATGCCTGAAAAAATACCTGTCCAAACTGATCAGTGAAAGCAGCGAAAAAGCCATGGTAACAAAATCTGTACTCAAATCCAGCAAAGGATAGCCAATTCATTGCAACGGAAAAAAAAAACCCATAGGTTATAGTGAAAAATGGGAGCCTCGCAATGTGATTTTTCTCCTTTGGCCCCTGAGGCATTATGAATAGGGATTCAAGGTTCAGGCACATCTATTCCAGTGTCCATTATCAGAGTCACAAGGTTCTGTGTGGGCAAAACAACGGGTGATGTCTGGAGCATGTGAATTGAGAGATAGAGGGAACGTGCTTACGTGCTGATACAATTTCTTCCCGAAAGTCTCTCTCTGTGCTGCACGCTGGCACATTATTTGCAAAGCGGTTTCAGCCGCACCAAGGGACCTCATGCAGTGATGAATACGGCCTGGCCCAAGACGACCTTGAGCTATCTCAAACCCCCGTCCCTCACCTGGTTGGAAAGAAAAACAGGCATATGCAGATTCCTTGATTCCTGCTTGAAATGATCCATGGCTCTAAGCAGAAGTGGCCTCATAGCACCAGAGCTAGAAGCAAGCTTCTGAAAAGTTTATTTTGCAGAACTGTTGTGCTTGTTTACTCAACTAGATCTATATTGACACGTTGTTAATGATACTTACAGCAAAAAGTACACTCCAAGATGGTTTCTAAGAGGGTTTGATTTACCTAATTTAATTTAAATGTTATTAATCTTGAATTGAAAAATACTTCTATGAGATTTGGTATGAGAATTTGGGAGAAGACTTTGAGGTTTCCAGGTCCTAGGGTACTCAAGAGAGAAGCTCTTTCAGGGAAATAAAAATAGCAGAGAGGAAATACTGTAAATCCTTGTTTCTTCTAAGTGAGAGAAGTAGAGCAAAGTTCTCCCTGCAGAAGGTCACAGTGCTGGCCTGCTCATTCTTTTTTTTTTTTTTTCAGTTCTGCTAAGTCTGCAGGCACCCAGTCCTGGATGGCCACAGACTACAGCAGAACACTCTTTTTAAAAGTCTGTAAAGTCTACGAGAACTGCTTTTGGGGAAAGAATGCCACTGACAGTGTCTGCTTTGCTCTACTTCAGGAAAGTGATTTTCACATGACAGCTACAGCTGCCCTGCTTCCTTCAATCACCTTTCTGCTCTAAACAAATTACATTCAAGTAGCAGGTAGACTGCTAAAGGAAGAGTGGGCTCCCTCTTTCATGTATGTGAGACCCCGGCTCAACTGACCATAGCTGTTTACAATAACATATGGTGATTCATAAAATAAACCACCATTTCATAAAACTTGGTTCATTGCTGTATGTATTAAAAAGGAATTAATACTGAAACTCACCCAGTATTATATTGGAGACAGGTACTCGCACATCATTAAAATGTATCTCAAAATGTCCTCCGTGGAGCTCATCTACAGGGACAGAGAAAAGACAACAGCAGGGTAAAACAAAGGAAGATAAAAATACACGCCTTCAATTCCCAACTCTTTTCCTATGTATGTGTTTTACTGATTTATTTCATGTACTATATTTATTAGTATTACTGCAGCTCCTGAGATTACTAACAAATTAATACATATATAGCTGATAAATATTATCACCTACCCAGAAAGCCAAACACTGAGAGGGGTCTTATCAGCTTCAGCCCTGGAGCGTCCATGGGAACAATGACCATACTGTGCTGCTCGTACCTGATCGAGACAAAATGCACAAGTTACAATTAACTTTGAGCCTCCCTTCTGTCCCCTCCCTCCACTTTTTTTATTTTCTATCCTCAATTTAGCACTTGCATAAAGCCAATGTTGAGATTTACCTATACTGATTACAGCCCTCCTGCCTGCATGCAGTGGGGTATGCATGCTTCAACACTCCTTGGATCACCAGTCAACAAGTAAAAATGTACTACTGGCATCTAATGCACCACGACCAAAAAACGACTACTTCTGTCACTTCTGTGCAAGTAATTCTGTATCACCCAGTCCATTTCCTTCCCCCCCACCCCTTTCTTTTTTGTTTTCAAAACATGTTTATCATCATCATCATCTTGGCTTGCCTACAGTTTAGGAAAAAAATCCCCATGTTTAAATTCCTTCAGAATATTTAAGGTCAGTTAGCAGTCACACAGAACTGGAGGTGACATCCCAGGTCCCTGAATTCAGTCTCCAGTTCTAGCAAGTGCAGTATCACACAATCCCCTCCATGAACTTCTGTTCAGCTTCGAAGAGCTCAACGGATGCCACTGTCTGTACAGCCGTTGGACAAACCATCCTGTATGCTATAAGCAAGTTACTGTTTACTTCTCAATGGAACCTAGCCAAATCTAAAAACTTAAGATAATCAGTGGAATTTGGGCTAAAATCCAACACTAGAGCTAGTGAACTTCAGGTCTCTGGTGTGCCACTTGTAGTCATTCTGTTCAGGGAAGCTCTGAAAAGTTTGGGTTTTATTATAATTTAAGCAAGCAATTCTTACCCTTGTTAATTGTTTTATATATTATACTTACAAAATAAATTGTAAGCCAGAGATAGTTGTTGGTTGAACAACTGATGCAGACTAGAACTAATGTGACCAAGATAAAGTCAGTGAACCCCCAAAAATTTCGTGATCCAATTCATCACACAGCTGCATGAACACTAGAGCTAGTGTAATGGAGGAGGGGAAGCATGCGGATGCAAGCTGGTGACAGTGAAAGGGTTGGGAGGCTTCAGTGATCAGCAGCTGACAGCAAAACAGGAGTTCGGTCAGCAACATTTTTCTCTAAACAGACACACGCACAGGTTTAAAACTCCCCTGTAATTCACAAGCATATCCAACTGATCAAGGCAATTAATGGTATTTCACTTGACAAAACTTTTGCAAGCAGTGACTCCTCCAGGAAACAAGTTTTAGGTAACTCTTTGAATCTCCTAGGAATCCTTACCTGGATGCTGAGGAGTTTTTGGTTTTGCCCATTACAATTGCAACTTTGCAATTTGGGTTCCCAGCACCTTAAAAAAGTCACAAACACAAAAATAGTTTTCAAGAAGAAAATCTCAACGTAGAATCAAATGAAGTTTCATACGAATAAATCTTACTCCCTTTTGTGATACAGGAGCAAAAGCAAAAGCATGCAATCTACTTCTGTGTTTATACTGTGAGTAATCAGACTGAAACGAAATATATCTTATTGCTTAACATGTAAAAGGGAGTTGACTTGTGGTGAGGGGAACAATGAAAAGCCAAACATGCAAACCCTCCAGGATCCAGCTCCATCATCTATTCCTATGAAAAGAGAACAAGAAGGTACTTGAAATGAAATCTCATTACTTCTGTCTCCATTACAGCTAAACCAGTAAGTGTGACACAAAAGCACACCTCGAGGTGAGATGCTGCCATTTCAAAAGTAAAACTTCTTAAAACTATAAAGACTGGAGGATTATGTGGGAATGAAATGTTGACCACATTATAACCAAATTACGCAAATAAGGCTATCAAAGGGTTCCCATGATGACTTTGCTACTACTTCAGCATAACTTCTCTGGAATGAAGATTTTTTTCCCCCTTCATGCAAATGATTTTAGTTTGCACTTCAAAGAAAGATCTGAGTGGAAATCGTTACCTGAAAATAATCTGCTAGCATTTCAAGCCATTGATAACATTATGTGATACAAGTCTTGTATCACACAAGTCTTTGTAGCATAAAGCTAGCATTTTAATGTACAAGTCCTAAAGAAGATTCTACCATTAATTAAAATGGCATCTTATTTCTAAGAGCCTTAATCCTCACTATCTTTTTCTTTAAACGTTTCTTAGTACCAAAGCATGCTCGCATTCCTTTCAGTGTCTCACACAGACAATAAAGCTAGGGAAGAGGGGGCAGGATGATACCTGACGTATGTAACAATCAGTAAATTTTTTATTGCTATCTCAATGCAGATGACAAGCTTCGCAGAGATTTAATTCAAGATTTGATCTGTACCAACTCAGTTTGTTTTGAGGTCTGAAACAAAGATGATTTCTTAGCTTCTCCAGCAGCTATTATCACAAAGTTTGGGAGCCTCTGGTCTAGACAATACAACCACCTGGCTTTGAGCTGAGCTACTTCCTCCTGAGAACAGCCACTGTGATGGCTAGGAAGTGGGAGAGGAATTTATTTCGTTCTGATAAACACTGCCTGTTTTGAGGGCCAGGCTCCTGGCTGTTTACTTTCCTCTTTTGCAATATGCTATTCATCCATTGTTTTCAAAGCGGGGTTATATTTGTGGCCCATGAGCTGTACAATGCTAATGAGCTAAAATATCTGAGTGAAAAGCTTGGGGGGGGGGAAGGGGGAGGCAGAATAAATCAGCCTGGTAAAAAAAAAAAAATGTAGATCTCAAACAGTTGGCTCATTTGGGCAACTGCGACAAGTGCGAGACCAACCCCAAAATAACACAACATATGCTTTGCAGTGTACTACCCTGCAAAGAGAAATGCTATACTCTTAAGGGTTATTTGATTCTTCTCCTTTTCCACAGAAGGTAAAGAATTGCACAAGTGGTATTTTCTAAACCACATTTATCTTGACATGTGGTTTACAACAAAAGATATTTTGACTTTCTGGAATCTCTTCAAAAACTGTTTTGTAAACAATCCTCAAGTCACATCCCTGCTTCAAAAAAAGGCAAATTTCACCACGTTGTATGAAAAAAATCAGAAGCAGCTTTCACATTGAACTTAGTGAGGAGTTCACTGAGAGCTGGACATCTAGTTAGATGCTCTAAATCATTAGTACAAGTTTCTGGAAGGCAAATGAATACCTCCTTTTCATATGTACTTTTTCCCATCTGAACACTGCACAGGAAGGCAGATTCCTGGCCTTTCCACTCCTTAGAGTCTGAAGTCCTGAAAACCTAAAAGAAATTTTATACAACTTTGACCCATAAATGCCAGAAAGAAGTTCTGGTCTAATGCAAGACTCTGAAAGACTCCAGTGCTTTGGAAAAAATGCAGACTGCCTGGATGGAATAAATCTCTTATTTGTAAATGGCATTTTTACATTACTTACAGAATTCAAAGCTGCTGGAGGATGGGGGGAAAAGTCAGAGAAGCCTGTCATTTTGGCAGGAGTGAGAAGTAGTTTTGCAAGAAACTCACAATTGAACAAAGAGAAATAGCAGAGATTTTAGAAGGTCAGTTTTAAGCTATTTCCATATTGATAGGATTTTTAATAAGCTTTTTCATATATATGGCTGCACAACCTGTCCAAAACTTTTAAACCACAATGCTGCTACATCGGGAAACATTGTAAGTTTAACTAATGTATTATATTTTTTAACTTTTCATGGCACTCACATAGGCAAAGACAATGATATTTTAAAATGTGCTTAGAGGGTTGATCACAATCCTATTGGAAGCCTAATCTCTGCTATCAGGGGGTGTAACATGCTTAAGATTACTGATCTTCATACAATCAACTTATACAGGTTCTTTCTGGTGGAAAGTACTAAATGTGGCACAGACATGGATAGTACAACCTTTACTTAAAGAAGCTGCCATATAGCCTGGTTTCAGAAGCCAATAGCACTTAATTCCTGCAATCTACTTATCTATTTTTCAGTGTCCAGTCTTCAAATTTTTGGCTAAGATGACTAAGGCAGGATAATCTGCTACCTGAATGCCCAGAATACCTATGACTCTTGCCTGCTGCACCGGTGAGCCTGGTGGGCTACCTCTCTCTGCTGAAGATCAGGGGTCTGTGGTGACATTACAGACTTGGCAGCTTCCTAGAAAGGCACTAATAAACACATGTTCTGGACTCTCCTACAAGAAGAAACTGGACTGAGTAGGGTGGATGGCAGCACGGTATTGATTGTTGTAACATGGGGATCTAATGGAGAAAAGGGGAGCCTGCAGTAATTTCTATCCACTACAACGTATTCCATAGTTCTACCTCATCTTCTTCAGATAACACTGCTGGGCACCTGATTCACATATGGTAAAGATTATAATGTAGCTGTGAGCAAATTGGCTACAACCAGTAAAGACAGAGACAATGCTGGGGTTCTGCACCTAATCAGCAAGGGCTATGCAGTCCTGCCACTGAATGTGGCTGCTAGTCATGCCTAGCTAGAGCTCACAGTCTCAGATGGTGCCAGTGAGAACAGATGCCCTCAACAACATTTAGGAAGGTTTTTTCCCTCACCTTCACCCCACTTTTACACAGCCACAAGTGCTTCTTAGTTAAACAAGATCCATTGTACTTTTGCATTCACTCTTACTTATTAAATAGTTTTTGTTATTTTTGAGCCTATAGGGCCCGTACCGAAATCTAATATTACATGACAGTATTATTTCTGTACCCTGACTGGAAGGTTCTGTCCTCCCTGCACCCTGCAAAGTTAAGAGGAGCTGAGGTACTATAATAAACAGCACAGGATTTACATGAACTGCCCTCCTACAGCCTGCCCACAGGACCTCTTAAGCACTGGTAACACAACCGTCTTTTCTGTAGGCACAGAGACATTTCCTTGGGAGCCTTCTCAGTTCTACCCTTATTATTCTATCTTGTTAGGGACCATGTTGAGACAAAGCCCTTTCAGAACTGAGATATTCACTTATTTCAATGAGATATAGCTCAGGCCTCTAAGCAATGACATGACTTGCGAGAAGCAGACGTGCTGGAAGCAACCCAAATGTCTTACCTGCCACTGTGAAGAACACCAGTGAAGTGCTGTGGTAACTCAAGATGAAAACACTACAGAAATATGCACAAATATTGCAGCAGTCTTCCTCTAGACTCCAATTCCTCTCCCAACCCATTTTTCTTTCTTGTTGTGAATGCAAATGAAGCCAGAAGCATGTGGAAAACATCTGCGCGTTACACTCTTAGCTGCCCATTTTGAAAAACCTTTCCTTTCACATATTCCAAAATAGCTGAAGCACAGACAGATGGCTAATCCAGCCGTGGCAGGTGCATCAATTAAGCCAGCATGCCAAAAAGCAAAACCTGACCTCTGGTCTGCTCAAAATCTCTCTCTGTTGTTTGGCACCAATATTTTACTGAAACTCACTAGACGGCTACAGGATACAGGATAATTCAAACAAAATAAAAGCTCTGGAAGATCACGGAAGGCTCCTGACACTCTGCACAAGGTACTTGTGCACAAAAGACCAACTTGAAGCTGTAGAGACTGTGGAAATTTAAGCAAGATCCGGTCATTTTAGGAATTCTTAGCACAGGTAAGTCCATGCCTCAGTGCAGAAATATTAATGTCTACATGTAAACTGCAGAACTTCTCCATCTTCCCTTTCCTGCGAAAGTTTTGACTCTTTATAATGCAGACAGCACACCGCAAGTGGAAGAAACCTCATGGATGGAATAGCGTCTTTTTATTTTTCTTCTACAGTATCTGCCTGGCTTTCAGTTTCTGTAGAAATATTATCAAAACACAACTTGATTATGAGTCTGACTGGTAACATTCAAGTCCCTGAGAACTCTCCCACAGGGTGCAGAACTATCTGCTTATACTCTGGTTGACAATTTACCACTTGCTTTTACATCTTTCCCCTGTCATCTTCCTGGTTTTGTTCAATATCACATACTGAAAGAGCAACCTCCCCCATCTTACAAAAAGCAAACTCATCCTTCTATTGTATCCCCTAAAAAGTTACTTAAAAAGGGGATATAAGGATCCCTTAAAACATTATAGAGGCAGCCATCAAAAGCACAGTAGTGTCCCGAGGAAAGAATTTAGTGATGCCGTACAGGTAACTCTGCCCCAGACAGACCTCCCCCTCTTTCTCTCCTTTTCAAATTTTAAATGTGTGATTTCATAAAAGTCTTTTAATTATGTAAAAAAAAAAAAACATTTGGACTTTCATGAATAAAACAACCAACAACACAGTGAAATAGTAAGAGAGTCTTGACCTTCCAAAGAACACTCACATTCTGGTTGGAACAGGGAGGAAAGTAGGAAATGTACATGTTCAACAGAACAGCTTCCAGGAAAGCAGGACTTTTT